GGCATATAAAAGGAGATGGCAAGAGTTTTTATATACTGAAAAGATAAGAGAGAGGCAAGAGTGGACATTGGGCCACTGGAAAATAAGGCTGGAAAACTAGTGATGGGGAACAAAGAAATGGCGTAGGAACCGAACTGGTATTTTGTACCAGTCTTCATGGTGGAAGACACCAGCAGAACACCAGAACTTCAGGAGATTCGGGGGAAGAGATGAGTGTGGTGACCATCACTAAGGAGAAGGTGCAGGGGAAACTGAAAGGTCTGAGTGTGAATAAACCACCTGGACCAGATGGATTCCACCCCCAGAGTCCTGAAGGAGATAGTTGAGGAGATTGTAGAGGCATTGGTGGTGATCCTTCAGGAATCACTGGAATCAGGGAGGGTCGCAGAGCACTGGAAAATGGCTAATGTAAGATCCTTGTTTAAGAAGGGAGGGAGGCAGAGACAGGAAATTATAGGCTGGTTAGCCTGACCTCGGTTTTTGGTAAGATTTTAGAGCCCAATATTAAGGATGGGATTGCGGCGTACTTGGAAGTGCATGATAAAATAGGGCTGAGTCAGCACAGTTTTGTCAAGGGAAGGTCATCCCTGACAAATCTATTAGAATTCTTTGAGGAGGTAATAAGCAAGTTAGAATTCTTTGAGGAGGTAATAAGCAAGTTAGACAAAGGGGAGCCAGTGGATGTGATCTATTTGGATTTCCAGAAGGCCTGTGACAAGGTGCTGCACAGGAGGCTGCAAGGGGAAAGGTACTAGCATGGAGAGAGGATTGGCTGACCGGCAGAAAGCAGAGAGCGGGGATAAAGGGGTCTTTTTCAGGATGGCAGCTGGTGACTAGTAGATTTCTGCAGGGGTCTGTGTTGGGACCACAACTATTCACTTTATACATTCACAATCTGGACAAAGGAACTGAGGGCATTGGTGCTAAGGTCACAAATGACACAAAGATAGGTGAAGGGTCAGATAGTGTTGAGGATGTGGGGAGGCTGCAGAAGGACTTGGACAGGCTAGGAGTGGAGCACTTTGGTAGGGAAAAGAGGCATAGACTATTTTCTAAATGGGGAAAGTCTTCAGGAATCTGAAACACCAAAGGACTTGGGAGTCCTAGCTCAGGATTCTTTTAAGGTTAATGTGCAGGGTCAGTTGGCAACAAAGAAAGCAAATGCAATGTTAGCATTCATCTCAAGAGGGCTGGAATACACCAGCATAGCTGTACTGCTGCGGCTCTATAAGGCTCTGGTCAGACCGCATATGGAATACTGTGAGCAGTTGTGGGCCCTATATCTAAGGATGTGCTGCCTTGGAGGCAATCCACAGGAGGTTTACAAGAATGATCCCAGGGATGAAGGGCTTGTCACGTAAGGAGTGGTTGAAAACTCTTGGTCTGTACTCAATGGAGTTTAGAAGGATGAGGCGGGATCTGATTGGAACTTACAAAATACTGATTAGCCTGGATATAGTGGATGTAGAGAAGATGTTTATACTAGTAGGAGAGACTAGGACCTGAGCGCACAGCCTCAGAGCGAAGGGATGACCCTTTAGAACAGAGATGCGGAGGGATTTCTTCAGCCTGAAGGTAGTGACTCTGTGGAACTCATAGCTGCAGAGGGTTGTGGAGGCCAAGTCATCTGGCTTACAGCTCACACTTCCTCTGTGTCACTGCTGGTCCCCAGGTGGGACAGGCTCTCTCGCAGGACACCTACTGCATTCCATACCCAAGGAATTAGGTAGCAGAACCCAAACCCTGGGACGCTCCTAATTCATCTCACTCGGTTCAAAACGCTCTTGGGTTTCCTAGGCTTCTCGGAGTGCACCAGGGCAACGCCTGACCTGTTTTCATGGTGACTGGAGCACCGGCCCTCTTACAATTGTTGACAGTTGAGATGCCCAAAACTTAAATTGACTTGGCAACACACCTTCGATGTGTGTATTTAGTCGATCAACCTTCAGAACTTTTGTCATTGGATTTAGGAACCTTGCCTGCATTCACTTGTCAACTGCCCTATTGTAACACACCTCTGGAGTAGCTGAGAGTTGAACCTAGGCCTCCTGGCTTGGAGGTAGAGACACCACCACAGTGCTGTCTCCTGGGTGTAAGAGTGCATCCCCTTTAAAATTACTCATTACATTGACCTAATCTGGCTGTGCAGGGGTGAGGACGGGTAGCTGTCTGCCCACTGAAACCTTCATGGCCCTGTGTACTGGGGAGACTTGCTCCATGCCTGAGCCTTGTGTATCAAGGAGATGAAACAATAGTGGTGACCATCAAATGGCTGTGGCTGTGTTTTGTGTTATTGATGTAATGTGATGTGTTACCGATATATCATTGTCAGGTGCAGCTAGTTCTATTATTGCTTTCCACATCCCCTTAAGGATTAATGTACACTTTCCAACCCGCACACAACACTACTGGTTGCAAAGGCATCCAGTGGTGTGTTTGCATCTCTGGGCCTTGTAAAGGAGCACTTCCCCATTTGCCTGTGTAAATACTGCAAACATTTAAATAGATAGCGAGGGGCTCCACGGAGGTACAGGAGCAGTAAAAACATTCCCAAAGAATGAGACCCTTGTGATTCGAACTCTTGGGTTTCTGGATTGAACTGAACACAAGGTACCATCTGGGAGCTGGGCAGGAGCCCAGGCTGGGGTTTTGGGCAGCCAGAGGCCATTCGTAAGGACCCAATGAACTAGCCTTTGACAGAATGATCACTGTTAGTCTGCAAGCTCCACATCTCGTTTCCATCTGGTGAAGGCAGGCAGGTCAGGTCCAAAGTTAAAATTGGGGCTAAAATAGCCCCACGTAATCATAGAATATTTTTGAGCAGGACCCCGTTGACTCCCAGTAGTTGTCTATCCGATGCCTGCTCAGCCAGGCTGTAATTTTTTTTTAAAAACCTGCCTTCCCTGTTGCTGCTGGCTGAGTAGGGGTGTAAAGATCAGGTACTACCATTGCTACCACACCCTCTTACTTCTGGCAAATCGGTAAATTAATCCTGTCAAAGCTGAAAGAATGTACCCACCTCCTTCACTCAGCCCCATGCCATCTGCAAATACTGGCAATGTGCTGGTTTTAAGATCAGCTGGTTTATTAAAGTGAGCTGATATCAACATAACTAGGCCTCATGTCTGCAAATAATGTCACTCCCAGTCACACAACTTCAGTTCATACTACCCTGGCTACTATAGCAACATTTAACCTGATGTATCACTAATGCCCATCATCAACATGGTGCATCACAGCTGTAACCATTCAGGCCAACTCCATGTTAACCTTTCTCTATCAGGGGCCTTGGGTGAGGAGCTTCTGAAATCCAGTATCTTATTGAACAGTAGGAGTACAGGCCCAGTCAATAAGACTCGATTACAAAGCATTCCTTAACTACAGATCAAGCCAGACTCTAAAGACCTTAGGCTCAGATTCCTGCCTCCCATTAACATTTCATGGGATTATAAAATGTGGAGTTCAGACAGGCCCGATGTGAAGCTCAGTAAAGTGCTTGTAACAGAGGCTATGACAGCTGAAGACTAAAGTTAGGGCTAAGCGTTAACAATCCACACAGAACAGTCAGCTACAGCTCAAGTTATAAATTCTGCTTGCATGTAACCCTGGAGTAATCGCCCACTGTTCTCATAACCTAATACAAAATTTCAAATAAAGTGAAGAAATTTACAGTATTTTGTTTGAAAGCAACTGTTTTTCTCCAGTATTTGATCCGGTAATGCTAATCCTGGGAGCTGCAATCCAAGTTCAGATCTGGAGAGACCCAAATAGGTGGAATAGTAGACAATGAAGACGGTTTTCTGAGATTACAGAGGGATCTTGATGAAATGGGTCAATGGGCTGAAAAACAGCAAATGGAGTTCAATCTGGATAAATGCTAGGTATTGCATTTAGGTACAGTAAACAAGGGTAGGGCTTATACAATTAATGGTAGGGCCTTGGGTAATGTTGTAGAACAGAGGGACCTAGCAGTGCAGGTACATTATTCTTTGAAGTCTGTGTCACATATAGACAGGATGGTTAAAAATACGTTTGGCACACTTACCTTCATTTCTCAGTCCTTTGACTATAGGAGTTGGTTAGTCATGTTCAGGATGTACAGTACATTGGTGAGGCTCTTCTGGAGCACTGTGTCCAGTTCTGGTCACCCAGCTATAGGAAGGATATTATCAAACTGGAGAGGGTTCAGAAGAGATTTACCAGGATGTTGCCGGTATGGAAGGTTTGAGTTATAAAGAAAGGCTGGATAGGCTGGGACTTTTTTCACTGGAGTGTAGGAGTGTGAGAGACAACCTTATAGATGTTTATAAAATAATGAGGGGTGTACATAAAGTTAATGTTGGTTGTCTTTTCCCTAAAATAGGGGATTTCAAGACTAGGGGGCACATTTTTAAGGTGAGAGGAGAAAGACTTAAGAAAGACATGAGGGGTAAATATTTCACACAGAGGATAGTGTTATACAGGAACTGCTGGGTGCTCTGAAACAAACTACACAGTTAGGTGTGTTATGCACATTATGTTAAAGCAGTGAATCCACCTCTTTCAACAAAAGACAAATTGGGATTTTAATGAAAGCCGGTGGGACTGTGGTTTCAAGAGCATCGTTAAGGGAGATCTGTGGGCTCAACCATCATGACAGGAGTTGGTGCGGAATGGGGGTGTGGGCAGTGCGCTATAGA